TTTATTTATTTATTTATTTATTTATTTATTTATTTATTAAACTTATATGCCACCCATCTAGACAATGTCTACCGTACTCTAGGCGGCTCACAGCAAATAGAATAAAAACAATTGGAAAAATAACAATGAAGGAAAAGCCCTCTTTTCAAGTTGAAAACCAGGAGCACCCAAGGGTGGTGTTAACATCCTTCAAATGGTTCTGTTCTGGGCTGTCTCCAAACTGTCCCGTTCCCATCTCAGCTCTTGTCCGTCTGTGGCTTCCTTTAGGGGCTCCATGCATCTCCTTATATGGTCTTCCTCTTTCCCTGCTCTGCCTTCTTCCTCGGCACGATTCTGTCTTTTTGGCAGAATCCTGTCCTCTCAGGATGGGGCCAAAGTAAGGAGAGCGCCAGCTTCGGCATTTCTGCCTCCAGAGACAGTTCAGGCTTGGTTTCGATCTAGGACCCACTCGTTCGTAGATTTCAAAAGGGGGCCAGCCGCCCCGTTCCCCTTCGGATGCCTATCCCAATAGAGTAGCTGGGAGGGAATCCGCCCCTTCCTGATGGTTTTGGTAACAACCATCGCATCAGCCCCCACCTGGTCTGGCCAAACAAAATAAAAATAAAAAAAATAAGGACGATGGGAATTGTAAGCCAAAACATCTGGCAGGCCAAAGGTTCCCCCACACCTACCTGAATAAAAACTTACAAAGCTGTGTTGATACACTAGGGGTAGAGAATGTTTGGGCTGGCATTCTGATCACCATTATTTATTTAATTATTTTGTGTGTGTGTCTGTGTGTCTGTGTGTCTGTGTGTGTCTATATGTGTGTGTCCGTGTGCGCGCGTGCATGCTGCTTTTCTCCCCAGCAGGAGAAAAAATGCGCGCTGCTTTTCTCCCCAGCAGGAGAAAAAATATATACAGTACGTATATTTAAAATATATTTACCATTTACCCCACCTTGCTCCTTAAAAAAGATCAAAGGCAGCTAGCTTACACCTTTAAACAACCACGTTTTAATAATATTAAAAGGCAATAGTTTAATGATAGTCCAGCCTGGCCAGCGCTGAAGGATGATGGGGCATCGCTGCCCGTCCGTGTTCAGCCCTGGGTCCCCACAGAGTTTACAGCATGGAGTTCTAGAGTCAAGGTTTGCCTTACAAGGACGGCTTCGGGAGAGAAATATCTGGTTTCCTTAACGACAGCATTTCTAGGCATGAAATGCTAAAAACAAAGTTACTTGTCAACCGGAGCTCAACAGCAGAATTGTATTTCTTGGTAAAAAAAATAAATAAATGTTGTCTCTAGGTGAAATACATTGCACCAGAGTAGGCCCACTGTGACTCATCAAATCCCCATCGTTTGTTCTACTGTGATTTAGTGCAACCGGATTTTGGCCCTTAATGCAAGTGGGGACCAGATGATGCTTCCAGAACCCATCATCTGTCACTAGAGCTAACATGAGATTGCATTGCCCGTTTCTGGGCACAATTCAAAAGGCTGGTTCTAATCTATAAAACTCTAAATAGCCTTGGTCCAAGCTATCTCAAAAGACTTTATCTCCCATTTTGAGCTGGCTTGGGTGTCAAGATCATCAGGAGACACCTTTCTCTCGGTCCTGCGACTCTCAAGGGCATGTTTGGTGGGGACACAAGAGATGGGCCTTCTCTGTAGCTGCTGTTAGACTGTGGAACTCCCTCCCACTAGAGGCCCGGCTGGCCCCATCTTGGCTGACCTTCTGCAAGCAGGCAAAGACCTTTTTCTTCAAGCAAGCTTTCCCCCAGTAATCTAGCTACCTATGTGTGATTTTTTAAAAATATATGGATTATTTTACGTTACTGCTCTTTACTACTAGGTGTTGACCATCAGAGTGGTATTTGTTTGTTCCTTTTTAAATCTCCATACTTATTGTTCTAGCTTTCATATTGTCTTGTAATGATGTCAGCTGCCTCTTTCTACTCATTGTTCTTCGCTTTAAATATTTTTTTAGTGATGCAAACCACCCTTGTATAATTGTTTCCAGCTTTAAATATTGTTCCTTGAAGGACGTAAGCCGCCTGGGGTCCTTTTTAAGGAGAAAGGCAGGGTAAAAATATTTTAAATTAATAAATAACCAAGCAACATCTTTAACACCTCTCCCTTGCTCACCTCTGCTTTCAAGAGAGTCTCTCTCCTCCCCAGAGGAGTGATGAAAAGCTCCTTTTTCCAGGGAAAAGTTTGCTCTCAAATGCTGAGAGTTGTCCAAGAAAGTAACTTTCAGCAGCTCTTTGAGAGATTTCTGAAGGATGATTCACGGTAGGGAAAGCAGGGCTCTGCTTTGAGTTATTAGATTCTTCTAAATCCATCTGTTATGTTGCCCGGAACAACACGGGGGGAAGAAAACCAGAGCACAGCCCAGGAATTCTCACTTATGTCACGCCGCAAACTTCTGGAAGAATGACGGGGCCATCGTGCAAGCCCAATTCTGC